AAAATTTCAATAAAGCCTAGCCTCACTCGTCATCTTTGTGTTTAGTACAATCCTAGCTGGGAAGATTCACTTTGTCCATGCCAAGTGAATTAGTAAGCTAAAAGTCTATGCCCATAGTATTTCTTCTCTAGTAATTCATGTTAATGATTTCTCTTGGCTCGATTGAAAAACATCTTTTCATTTTTCTTAAACCATCCGTTTATTGTTGCTTTTGGAAAAAACTATTTCCATCTTTTATTAATTTTGATATGCTTAATTTCAAGTTTTGTAGAGCAATGCATATATTCCCAATTTTCCTGGACTTGATTGCTGAAATTGTTAAAACTACCAATTAAGCACATTAAGTCATAGTTCAGGATTGGTATCTCCGTGAAAGAAATGCAAACTTGTTTGGGTTGGTATTCATATTTTGCCCTCCTGGAATTTATCCTCTTTTAAATTTTGCTCATCTAAATTTGGGAGACTAATTTGTATGGATAAGCACACCATCTCAGAAGAACCGCTTTGAGAAGTTTGGTTCTTGTTGAGTAAAAGATATTTCTTGTATCCCTCATCTTTTGATTCTATCAAAATATTTCATTTGCACTGCTTATATTAATTTTAAAAGGACTTGTTCGTCTAGTTGCCCTTCCCTTTACTATAGTTCACTATTGTTTCATCCATGGTTGTGGTTTCTATGCGTTCGAAGGCTGATGATGATGCAATATTTCGAAGGAATGTATCCATATCTACTATTAGTAAGTATATTAACAATGTCATTACTTATACTACTAATGCTTCCTCAATTTCAATTTCGAATACAGACCTGAATATTGTTTTAGATGGCAATTTTGATGCTTTTTTTTTTTAAAGTTAGCCCTGAATGCTATCCTACTTCAGATCTTAAGGCAGACAAATTTCATATGCTGGAACATTCTGTGGTGGGGAGCAGCTTTTTATAACTAGGCCTTTTAGAGTGTGGTAGTTGTGAGAAAGTTATTGTTTGATGTTTTCAAAAAGGGAAGAAATTTTATAATACCCATAATTACTTTAAAAATAGTTGCTCCTCAGAACCCTTCTATAGCTACTTTACAAACAGTTATAACCACCCTGAATGGACCCTAAAGTTATTCCTTTTTTTTGGGTGTTAATAAATCTGTTGGCATAGATAACCTTTCTATCAATTTTTTGTAAGAGATGTGGGATTGTATTCATCCTGTTTGATGGAGATGTTTGTGGATATTTTTGAGATGAGACCTTTCATGCTAACTTGGGTTTTATTACCATTTGTCGTATTCCTAGAAAAAATTTGTGTATTTAGAGTTTCTTCCTCTCCTCCCCATCACAAATGCATCCACTTCGCTCGAACAATCTACCTTAATAAGTAACATTGATTGCATTGTTTAAAGAGAAAAGAATCAAAATGGTCCCTCAACTCTTTGTGAGGGGTCAAAATGGTCCCCAACTTTTTTGAGGAACTAATTTGACCCCTCAACTCTTTAAAATGTGATGTTTTTTGTCCTAACATCTAGTGTTGGAGTAAATTGTGTTAAATGTAAGGGTATTTTGATCATTTTTAATTAAACATTTATTTAATATAATTTTCAAGTAATTATAATTTTTCTAAAAAAAATTATTTACATGTCAGATTGTGCCAGGCTTCAGGGTACGCATTTTACCTGTTATGGGAACCATCCCTGCAATTTTTGGGCAAGTGATGGCATCGTATGTTGTGACCCAGCTTGCTGGACTGCATGTTCTTACTGAACCAGTGGTAAATCTGGACCTGAATCACTACAAGATGCTTCATCAACGCCTTATTGAGCATGAAGAGCTATTATATGGTTCAGCTGAGGAGGTCTTGGTATGGAAATTTCATCAACTTTTGCTTTGCATTGCATTATTTTCACATTTGAATTTCAGTTTTAATAGTGCCCCAGGGTTGTAATTTTTTCTTCATTTTTCTCAGTGAACCTTTTACTGCCATGTATAGCTATTATCTATAAGTCTCCCTACAGATTGATTTGCTATTAATCAGCTCCAGATTTGGAGGTGAAAGGTTCTGGTATATTCATGCCTAGGCCGAGTATGTATTGGTTTAGTTATCTAACTCTCAGGGATGATCCAATTCGTGCCCTTAAATCTCCTATAAATGTATAATGTGAACTTCCGGTTACCAAAAGAGAAGCATACATGTTGAGGTGGCAACCTTTAATCCGAGGTTATGTGTGAGAACAGACAAATAAGGTCCACTAACAGGTTGTTGTCGCCTTGAAGAATACGTTTCATATGTTCCGATGAAGATTTAGGAGAGCAAAATCACAAAATATTTTAAGGAAATATAGCTAAGGAGAACAGTTGCTGTGTTTTATAGTTTTTTATGCATGTATGATGAATGGTGGTACGGCTTTAGGTTTTGTTTGGGACAGCTTTCTTTATGCTTCTTAAAGCAGCTTCCTAGTACAAAATGTTTTGATTTTGTTCTAAGAAGCTGATTTAAGAAGCAAAAAAAAAGCCGTCCCAAACGAAGTCTTAGTTTCTTACCTACTTTAAAGTGAAAATTGCTGAATATTATTCACTTATTTTATTAGGTTGGTGTTGAGGAGGTGCTCTACATTGTGAAAGAATTGTGGCACGGCCGAAGTGCAAGAGATCAATCAAGCAAAGATGTTGGACGGAAAATGTGGCGTTCTGTTAATGAGTTGATGCTTGTGAGGTAATTTTATGTTTTGGTGGTGTTCGTTTCTGAGCAATTGTTTTAGCAAGTGATATATGTACTTGAATAAGCTCCACTAGTTGCATCATCTGTTATATTTTGCACACCAATTGACCTTATTTTCATCGTCATCTTTGAAATGCAGTTTTATGACATTTCCAAAGGCAGCCTAGGCTCATAAGAATTTATCTTTACTTATTTTATAAAAAAAATTTCCAACGTAATTTCTTAAAGTGTAATTTCGCTCTCAATGCGATTTTGCAAACCATAGATTATCCACCTTGACATAATTTGTCTTAATTCCTGCTGGCAATTGTATGGTGTCATAATCTGTTTACAAGTATGGAAGATGAAAAGAAAATTAATATAGTCGATGATGCAAAATTGTTTTTTAAATACTTTTATTTGACTAGTTAAAAAGTCGACTTTTTGTAATTTCTGCTTGGAATGATTTGCATATCAATGGTGCTAATTGATCTTTATAGCCAATCTCCTCCTGTTGGCATCCTTCTATGCTATTAGGAATTGGAAAATCCTGTCCAAATCTAGCTCTGCCTTTCAGATTCTATGAATTAACTTCTGATTTTCATTTTATTTAAAACTCTCATATTCTCCCTTTTATCTATCCTATTGTGTCCACAGGTGGGACAGAGAGAAACCAGCTTCAGTTTCAAATTTGATTCTTCTAAAATTTGAAGAGGTAATCCCTCGTATATATTACTTGCTACCAACAAATATTTCAGAAACCTTTTATTTTGCATGTTTAACTTATTATTGATGAAAAAGAGTAAGTGAAGCTTGTGTAAAGTTCAACATATACTTTTAGGATTCGTTTGGGACGGCTTTCTTATTGTTTTTAACAATATTTAAAATTGCATAATCTGGTATTGAGGTGTTTTTCATTCGTGAGGCGAGGCAAGCCTCAAGGCGTTTTGAGGCGTAAGCCTTAATATCAAAAGATTGCGTAAACATAAAATGATAAATTTTTTATATACTAATGAGCAAAAAATATGAAACATAAAAATATATCAGTTATGAAGTGAAATCAAAATATCTCAACAATAAGATAATATGAAATTTAGTTCAACTCAAATTCTATCTTTCCCAAATCACAGTATTCTTTTCATTAACATATAATTCAAAAAAAAAAATAGCAATGAATACAATAATATGCCAGGCCGTTGGGGGTCCAATGGGGCGCTGCCCCCTGGCGGGATTCGACCTGTCCACGATCAAGGTACAGTGTCCTTGCGGGGGTTTCTGGGGGCAGCTCCCCGAAACAAATTTTTATTGTAAGAGTAATTTTGAAGTTCTACTTATTTTTAAAGTTCGTAAGTCGTTTGTATGGAAAGATATCGAGTAGTACCGAGCATGTACCTAGTGGTACCAAGTTGTTGTACCGAGTGGTACCGTGCGATACCAAGCGGTACCGAGCAGACAGACCAATTGTGGAATCTTATTAGGTTAGGGCTTTTTTTAATTTTAAGAGGCGGACGCCTCTAAAACATGAGGCGAGGCGCGCCTCAATGAATATGAGGCATACACCTCAATGTCAGCTCTCATTGTGTAGGCTTTGAGGCTTAAAAGTCTGAAATTGCGCTGAGGCGTGCCTGCCTCTTATTGCGCAATTTTAAACCATGATTTTTAACACAATTTTTAAGTAAAAAACTAAAATTAGAAAGAAGTTGTAAGAAAGCCGTCCCAAACGAAGCCTTAACCTTATATTTGATGGAAATGCCGATTTCTTATATTTAATATTAATTCACTGCCAGTCGTTGTCCTGCAAAACATCTTCATTGAATGTAATATTCAGTTTGCTCATTTGCAATGCTGCAAAGAAAAAGGACCGTGCAATAGTTGATTTGAAGCCTTTTTTTGTGTTGTAAAAATTATTTTGTAATTTATGTTCTAAATTTATTTAGGCAGAGGCACACGAGACGACTACTCTTGAAAACATAAAGAAAGAGGAACCTGAATTCTATGACATGGTTGTTGCGGTTCTAAGGAGGGCCATCTTGGACTACATGTTGTAATATGACAGGTCTGTTAGATTGTAGAATTCTGAGATCTGTTAGGTGTTTTTTTGGTTTAATATTGTTTAGATAAAAATGTTATCTAAATAATAATTTTATTTATATAGGATGTTTATCAAATGCAATATGCTTAGCTTTACTTTTTCTTGACAATGTAATCTTATGTAGAAAGCTTAATGGTGATTGATCTTTTTTTCTTGTCATTTAAGCCTCATTTGAGACGGCTTAATTTTATCATTTCTGTTTCGAAACGGCAAAGTTATTTTTGAGTTGTTGTTTGTATGTGACACTTTTGTAAAACTGTTTTTTTACGGAACTTCATTCTTGTATTGTATTCAAAAGCTTTTTAGTATTGACTTATATGTTACAAACCTCCATTCTTTCAAATAAACTTTTTAAAATCATCGGGTAACCAAATGCAATTTGAAGTTTCCTTTGAGATAACTTTTTTACTGCTTCTTAAAACAGTTTTCTAGTGTAAAAATTTTAATTTTTGTACTAAAAAAATAATTTAAAAAGCAGTAAGAAAATCATCTCAAATGAAATTTTATTCTTCTTGTTAGACAGTTTGATGTTAAATGTCAGCAAATTTTATCAGCGTCTAAATGCCATCAAAATAGAACAGTAATTGATCATTCAAATATCTGTGAGAATCAAATCTCTATCATTTGTTAATAAAATGACATCATATAACAGATGTTAGTTAATCTGACACCTCCTTTCATGCTTACGAGTATTGATAATGGTAAACTTCTTCACTTTTTGGGTGTTTTTACATACATCATTTGTCATTTTGTTTAAACTCAAAAGATTACATAATTGATTTATAGATCAATAGAATGCGACTAATTTTTTGAAGTACGATAGATGATGTGTGATATATTGCCTTATAGTCTCCATTGCAAATAAGATAGAGAAGACTCAACAAATTATAAGATTAGCACTCTTTAAATTTTCATAAAAAATTTAAAATGGCTTGATTTACAGTAGCATTAGGAACTTAATTTGTGGTATGTACTGTATCTAAAGAAATGTAGGAAAAAACTGAATCATTGTTCTTTGCAAGGTTTGTGTTAAAGTGTAAGAGAGGTTAAAGTTATACAGCATCATGGTTTGTGTTATTAGTGGGATCCAATATATCATTTACTAATTTGTTTAGGTTCATTGGAAAATATATATGTTCTACATCAGTTTAGTATATCAAGGCAAAATGGAACTTTTCCTCATTTATTTATAAACTCACCTTCTTCTTTCTATAATCGATTTGAGCTTGATATTTGCTCAATCAATCTATTAAAACTATAACAATAAACTCTTTCAAAGTTGATATGATCAAAGCAGCTACTAGCTTTCTACGAAAAATTTTCAACTCATACAAACATATTTTACTCACACACATCAAATCTCTCGTAGGCAACATGTCTAACAACTCAAGGCATAACTGAAAAAGAGGCAAATCCATATTACTCAAAATACACTCAGGTAAGAGAGAGTGACTAGTGCCCAAATAAATAAGAATACTACGATTTTCGCTTTGATATATAAATCATACATGGCACTAAACTTAGGCCACTTTTCAGTGATCCACTATTGGAGGGCTGTCATCCAAACCTCCTTCTACTGGCCTCCTATCTCTTTTGCATTATTGCCATATCATTATCTACTAGCATCACTCGCTCTACCAATTTAGAAAAGTCTCGAATGTGGAATTATTGGTACTAAGGGATGTCTCAAGCTGTTCTTAGTTCTCTCAGGAAATAATAGCACTTTTCCTCTGACATGCTGACATATTGAAGACTGTATAAGGCTAAGGCTGTGAGCTCCGTCTCAAAATTGCATCACTGACATGCTTCCCTAGACTAGCCTCAAGAATTGTTCATGCATCTGCTGCCTCGTAGAAGGCAAAACAAACTAATCTTTGAAGGTCTCCACAAACTCTTCCCAGCATATCTCAACATTTTTTACCCTGAAACTTTTCTCTTTTAGGGACTTCCCTACCATCCGGACACTGCTTCCCATCAAAAGATTTTTCTAGCATTAACAAACAATCCTAAAAAAAAAAAAAAAAAAAAAAAAAAAATACTGCCAAGGGGACTTCCTTGCCTTCCGGACACTGCTTCCCATCAAAAGATTTTTCTAGCATTAATAACCAATCCTGGGCAGCCCGAGGATCTACGCCCCCTTGCAAATGAGGAAGCTTCGATCTAAAAAAATGACTACATATGCCAGTCTATATCTTCTACCCTCACGCCTAAAATCCTGCACTAAGCTTACCTCATCAACTGCACTACCAGCCTAGCAAACTGCATAATTGAGTCTGTTGGTTGTACTATGGACCTTTGTAGCCCTAAAAATTTTCCTATCAATCACCTCAGGATCTTGCTGGTCCAAATATGTCTAACAAAATATAATATCCTGGAATTCCAAAATCATAAATACTTAATGACAATGCTTGCTTTCTTTTTGTTAGATTGAACCTAATCAATAATATCTTTACATTTGACTAAATAACAACAATAGAGTGAATCTATAACTCAGTAGGTTAAACTCAATTCCCATCACAACATTCATTTCAAAATTATAAAAGACTTAAAAGACCACGATTAAATATTAAAAATAGTTTTTAAACCAAAGATCATAAAAAAAAAATGTTTACTTTAAAATACACTTATAAATGCAAGAATGCAAATTCCTTGATGCCCCTTATAACTCTCAAATTTCAACCTCCAACTTAGTCACCCAAGTGCATAGCATAGCCATCTCTCACATGTTCGAGACAAGTGCAGATCAGAAAGAAACTAATACATAATAACTTCTAATATAATGAGTTTTCATTACAGAGTGTTTCCAATATAAAATATTTTCAATACAAAATGTTTCCAATATAAAATGCTTCCAACTTGGGCCCAAGAAAAACTTTCATTGCATGTTCTTTCCAATGAAGAACTTTATGCATGAGATGCATACAAAAATACATTTATGAATTATAATCAAATTCTGCAAAGAATTATATAATATCCTTACTTTTTTTTTCTTTATATAATATCCTTACTTGTATACATAATCTTCTCATATTCTTACCGTATAGGAAAACCCCCCAATTTTACATTTGTCAACACAAAATGCTTAGAACCTTACCAAATCTACAGAGATTACATAAAACATAAAAAAGTACTTTCTTAACTTTACTACCAATCAGAAGTGTATTTATTTTCTAAAATCATTAAAAAAAAAACAATAAAAAAGAAGCCAACCATTGAAAACTTGCATTCTTATAATCGAATCGTCTATAATGAAGAATAAAGTAAGATATAAAAAGTTGCATGGTAAAACATTTTTAAAACTTAAGAAAAATATTTTTAAAAGCATAACTTTCAATTTACTTGTCTGAATTAAAAAAAGGGGTATGAGTTGCCTACCTCGAGCCTGACGATTTTCCTAATAGTAGTTACGAACAAAAATTGAATTTTGAACTCCAAACCTTAGCTTTCTCTTTCTCTTTCCTTCCTCTCCCTTTCTTCCTTCTCTGGCAAGCTGGGGCGAATTGGATCACGGATAGTGACTTTAGATGTTTATTGTTTTTAAAAAGTATTAACTCATAGGAATGCCGCTAAGCTATCCTTTCCAATGCCGTAGTGCTACAAAAAAAACTCCCTAACTCTTCTTAATTCTCCCTAGCTACTCTAGAGTCTAATTCTCATATGATAAGGATGCTACCTAGCCAAAATAATCCTTTAAAATCCCAAAAATGCTATTTTCCCGAGCGAAGAGCGCCAAATTAAATCCAAACTTCACATTTTCACTTTGTTAACTTAAAACTTTTAGCCTTTTACGCTCTAAAAACGATCTAAATAACTTAAAGAACATTTATAGTTATCAAATAAATTAAAAACTAACACTTTAAAGCAATTAATTACCTATATTATGGATGACGGTTATTACAACTTAGGCTACATGAAGAACAGTAAGACTTCACTCATTTACTCGATTCACCTATATCATATTGAGATGTTATAATATCTAATGGACACTTTAGTTATAGAATATCTATAGATTCTTCACCCTCTTCATCTTGTTTATCATTATCTTAATTGTTGTCTTATTAAATTAATATACAGTATATCATTAGTAGCTGTTTAATTAATTGATTTCATCATGCTTATTTACAGCTAGAACTTATTCTTTTTTGTTTATAAATATCTGATTGGACTTATTTATAATATGTTGTTGTATTCATTTTTTTCACAATTGACACACAGACAAGAGAATGATATTAAGAAATGTCTATGTCTTGATGAAAAAAAAAAAAATATACGACCACACTTTATAATTGTTT